AGTTCTCTGTTTAGGTCTGTACTCCATTTTTTTTATTGGATTATTTGTTCTTTTGATGACCAATTTCTTGAGTTCTTTGTATATTTTGGAGATCAGACCGCTGTCTGATGTGGGGTTGGTGATCTTTTCCCATTCTGTAGGCTGTTGTTTTGTCTTGTTGACCGTGTTCTTTGCTTTACATAAGCTTTTCAGTTTCAGGAGGTCCCATTTATTAATTGTTTCTCTCAGTGTCTGTGCTATTGAGGTTCTATTTAGAAAGTGGTCTCCTGTGCCAGTGCGTTCAAGTGTACTTCTTAGAAGAGATTCTTAAGGTGAGTTTCTAAATGTAACCATGACTGTCTTTGGAACTCACTCTGTAGACCAGGCTGGCCTCGAACTCACAGAGATCTGCCTGTATTTGCCTCTAGAGTGCTGGAATTGAAGGCATGTGCCACCATGCCCAGCTAAATGTAAATTCTTAATTACTATGAGAGCCAATAACTTTTTTGAATAAAGATAGAGTGCTGGTTAAGTGTTTAACATACATTAGACTGGTAGTTTGAATTATTTACCTTGACTTTACAAATGAAGATTTAAAAAAAGGAAAAGGTTAAAATAGCCTTTGAAGTCTCTTTGGCCCAAATTGTGAATACTGAAAATCTAAACCTTTGTGAAAGCTATGTATAAATGTTATTTATGTATTTTTATCTCATTTTAAGAAATGTGGTATCCTTTTCATATTTATTTATACTTGACTTACTTTGAAACAAATTTGAGAGATGTTTCGGTGAAAGATACAGGTACAGGAGTGGATATTTAAGCCTGCTAATTTGGCTCAGTGCTAAATAAAGTATGTGATTAGCAGGTGAGAGGCCCTGACTTTGGTACACAGCACTGCCCAGCCTAAAATTCAAAGAAATAATAAAATGAAGAGCAAGCAGGGCAATATTATTTACAGATTAAACAGAAGAATGCATCTCACTGTCAAGTAGATTGAAACCCTCTGTAAAAGTAAAGGAAGAGGGTAGGCAGTTGCTGTTTTGTTAGCAGTCTTTGCCTTGGATTTGATTTCTTGGTTTGTGGCTTGTGTATGAGACGTGTATGTGTGCCCATATCTGCGGGCTCGTGTAAGGAGGCCAGAGGTTAACACAGATGTTTTCCTCAGTTGCTCTCCATCTTAAATATTGAGACAGGCCAGGATTAAGAACGGCCATCATTACCTCCCAGTAGTTAGGGGCTAGGGATCCTAACTCGTGTGCCCATGCTTTCATGGGAAGCACTGGACTTGTGGAGCCATTAGTAAATGCTTAATAACCCTGTCACTTGGGTAGAAGGAGAGGAAATGGATATGTAAAAACAGTATCTAAGAACCTTGTAAGCTTTAGGACATAGGACAACGAATTATGAAATATGAAACAAGATTAACTTTGAGTATTAGTTTTTAGGACATTGGAGATAATTCTTAAGTGTTTATTCTCTAAAATATTGTCCTACTTAGGGTTATTGTTGCTATAATGAAAAACTGTAACCAAAACCAAGTTGGGGAGGGAAGGGTTTATTTGGCTCACGCCTTGTAGGAAGTCAGAGCAGGAGCTTAAACAGGACATGAACCTGGAGGCTGGGGCTGAAGCAGGCGATGGAGGGGCACTGCCTATGTGTTTGCTCCTCCCGTCTTAATCAGTTTGCTTCCTTATAGACCCTGGGATTACCAGCCACAGGCTGGACCCTCCCCCATCAATCACTAATTTAAAAAATGCCCTACAGGCTAGCCCACAGCCCAATCTTTGGGAGGCATTTGCTCAATTGAAGTTCCCACCTCTCAGTATAGGTTGCGTCAAGCTGATGTCAAACTAGCCAACACAAATATCATGTATGGGTTTTAAAGACTAGTAGCTTTTAACTGGAATAATAACCACGATAAATTGAGTAAAAAGGTCAAGTTGCAAAATATTATGTATAGAACTTCTGTTTTTAAGTATGAATGACTCAGACTAAATTTACTCTTTTGATGCCTAAACAATAAAGTCCTAAGCCGGGCGATGGTGGCGCACGCCTTTAATCCCAGCACTCGGGAGGCAGAGGCAGGCGGATCTCTGTGAGTTCAAGACCAGCCTGGTCTACAGAGCTAGTTCCAGGACAGGCTCCAAAGCTACAGAGAAACCCTGTCTCGAAAAACCAAAAAAAAAAAAAAAAAAAAAAAACAACCAATATATATAACTGCTTTCAAACACTGAACAATATAGAAGCATATGACCATACCTCTAAGATGGGATTTGATTTCTCCTACACTTTCTCTCTGGCTTTTTATTTAGAGATACATTCAGAGCAGTGGGCCAGGATGAGAAATATGAAAGTTCAAGGAATCCAAACTCGTTGGAAATTAGAAAATGGAGTTCCTCAGAGGAAAGGCTATGTATTAAAAAATCTGCATAATTCTACATATAGGGACCTTCTGGAGTTCTTGCTGAATGTTAAATTACCCATCTGTAAGATGTGGGCAGAAACACCAAACAGACAACGGCTGAGTAATTCCTAGTGCTCACACAGGGCTACAGTACATCCAGAGCTTACCAGGAGAGGTAAAAGAGACTGTTCTGATACCCAGGTCAGCAGAAATCTAGCCCCTTAAGCAGTAGAGCTAAACTATCCCTAGTGTAAAGGCTGTTCAAACCCCTTCTTAACAGACTTTCCCAGAAATGTAAATGATCAAATTTATCTTTAAATAATTTAATTGTTTGGAAAACAAAGCTTTGTGTTATTTCGAGAATATAATAGACCCCAAACACTTAGTGTGACATTCACAGTGGTCAACTAATTTTCCCAGTTAGTAACAGACTATTGCTAGACAGTGCAAGAAGCAAGAAAATAGGCTACAACTAGCAGGAAAATTTTATTTAGTTAATAAAACAGATTCAGTTGGCAGATGAGAGAAATTAGTGGAACTTTTAGAACTGAAAACTGTGTCTGACACAAAGTCTCACTACAGAGTATTGACAGAAGACTAAAAATCCAAGAAAAGAGTTAGCCCTAATTTATCATAATAGAAAGCATCTGTACAAGAACCAGAGCTAAAGAAGACTGAAGGGATCCTCAGTTACTATGGAGACAGTGCCAAGAGAACTCAGCTAGTGTTTAAGAAAGTAATAGTGATAATGCACAGACTTGGAGAGATAGGGAGAGCAATGGCTTTCAACTCTATGGACATAACAGAGCCCTGATATACTTACAGTGCCATCATATGAGAAAAACATATGTACCCATCAGTATCAACATAGAATAGAAATTCCTTTTTTCTTTTCTTGAGACAGGCTTTCCCCATGTAGCCTTAGCTGTTCTGGAACTCACTCTGTAGAACTGGTTGACTTCGAACTCACAGAGGTCTGCTTGCCTTTGTCTCTTAAGTGCTGGGATTAAAGGTGTGCACCACAACCGCCCCACAAAAATTCTTCAAAATATAACCAAATGAGATCAAGCAATATATAAAAATCATAGTATAGTCAAGCAAATATTGTTCTAAAATATAAAGTTGATTTAATAGTAAAAATGAGTAGCCATAGAGGGCAAATAGGTACTAATTGTGCATTTCATTTCCAGGAAATACAGAAAGACATTTAAATTTTCCATTTCTATAATATCACAAAACATTAAGAATAAACCTTGCAGGCTGGAGAGATGGCTCAGAGGTTAAGAGCAAGCAGTGGCTGCTATTCCAGAGATCCTGAGTTCAATTCCCAGCAACCACACGGTAACTCACAATCATCTATAATGAAATCTGGTCACCTCCTTGGGCATGCAGGCAGAACACTGTATACATAATAAAAAAGAATAAATCAGCCGGGCGGTGGTGGCGCACGCCTTTAATCCCAGCACTCGGGAGGCAGAGGCAGGCGGATCTCTGTGAGTTCGAGACCAGCCTGGTCTACAGAGCTAGTGCCAGGACAGGCTCCAAAACCACAGAGAAACCCTGTCTCGAAAAACCAAAAAAAAAAAAAAAAAAAGAATAAATCTAGCAAAAGGTGCACAAAACTTTTACATCGGTTTACTATAAACTTGCTGAGAGTTTTAGGAAAATCTAAAGAACAGTTGGGGTACAGCTCAGTTGTGAGTGCTGCTTAGACTATGTAAGGCCAAGGTTTGATTCCCAGAACCACAAAGGAGAGAAAAGTGGAGTGGGGGAGAATTTGGTGCAGATAAACTAGTGATCTATAGATTGGCTGGAATTCTAATCATAGTGCCTTGTTTTGTTTGTGACAGAGCCTTGAAATGTAGTAACTCAGACTGGCCTGCATTCAAGACCACTTCAGTGAATAGTACCTTATAGGGGCTTTTTCCATGTCCATGCAGAAAACTGGCTGCCTATTTTAAGCTGCTATAGACGTAATTTAGTGTGGTTCATCATTTGCATTCATTTCCCTATTGAAGAGATTTTAGATTCTTCTGTGGTTACTGCCTGATGGAGGTGGCAGTTGTTTAGTTTGGTATAGTTTTTTTTTTTTTGACTTGAGTCTCAGTTTTCAGCCCAAGATAGACTCAAAGTTAATTCTCTTGCTTCAAGAGCTAGCAGTTAAGCATGTGCCTCCGTGCCCAGCGTCTTCGAGCTTTTCTTCCTTATAAACAATGCTGTCCTGAATCCCCTTGGGTTTCTCTTTATTTTTCTATACTAGGATTTTTTTTCTAAACTACAGTTGCTTGGCCATTGATGTACACATATGATTTCTTTGTTGTTATCCTTTACATCTTCCAGTTTGGCTTACTCGTTTTGTTTTGTTTTGTTTTGTTTTGTTTTGTTTTGTTTTGTTTCTTTTTCTCAAGACAGGGTTTCTCTGTGTAGCTTTGGAGCCTGTCCTGGAACTAGCTCTTGTAGACCAGACTGGCTGCAAACTCACAGAGATCCACCTGCCTCTGCCTCCTGAGTGCTGCAATTAAATGCATACGCCACCACTGCCCGGCTTGACTTATTCACTGTATCATTGTATTCTCCATCTTGGTAAGGGCCACTTACTGTTTGTTCTTCTCCATAGGGTTTGCTAGCACTGGGCATCAGCAAGTCCATTCAAACACCAGACCCTTCTCACCCGTAAGGACACAACCTCTGATTTGAATTTGCGATAAGTCATTGAAATAAGAACCAACGAATTTTTGAGAAGTCTGAAATTTATATAGCATCAGATTGTTCGAAATTTGGTCATTTCCTTTGTATTGTCTAAAGTGTAAGGGTCAAAGTAAAGTCAAAGCATAATTTGAAAATGGAGTTGAAATCATTTTTATACTTTATAATAATACAGCTTGGAGATCTTCTCCATATTGATAATAAAAAACCACTTATCTTAGAGTTCTATTTTATTTCGTTTCAGGGAAGTATATTTCTGCTCAAACAATTGGCTATGTGATCTAAAGTTTTGATATTAGCCTTTTTCAAATGAATACTTCATACTTACTCTACTTTAATGCTTTTATTGTGGTTAAGAAATATTTTGATAACATTTCAAAATTAGCTATTTGTAAAGTGAGTGTGTTTTTTAGAATATAGTACTTCGAATGTGTCAGTTACCTGCTGTGGATATTTATTTTTGTCCCATCTGTTAGCAGCCACCCAAATGGTTGAGCTCCCGAGTCACTGTTCTTTTAACTACCTTCATTAATACAGTTTGATCAATGCTAAGGCAGAAAAGTGCACCTTTATCTCTGTGAAAGTGTCCATTTTAGTGCTTTGTCAATGCCTTCCCTTACTTGACAGCAGGGCATTGCTGTTTCAGTAATAACACATTTTTAATTTTCTAGAAATGGGAGTTTTCTAGTATAGAGAACAAATGTTAAAAACGTCTACTGTGTTTTACTATCTCTTGACAAATTGTTTTCCTTACTGATTTTCCACACCAAAAAATTTAAATAAGAGAGTAAAAATTTTAAATTTTGTATTCTGAAGATTGCTTCTTAAGTTATTTTAATACTGCCTAGTACAGTAATAAAATTTAGGCAGTATTTAGCTTAAAGACATTTATATATAAATAGCCACACGTGACTCGTAATTGACTGTAGGAGGCGGTACAGATCTGCATAACACAAGTTTCCGTAAGAGCCCACAGTGCAGGCCAGGTGTGGGGGCACTCAGGAGGCAGAGCATCTCTGTGAGTCTGAGGCCAGCCTGGTCTACACAGAGAAACACTGCCTCAAGAAACAAAACAGTGAAGAAAAACAAACAAAAGCCCAGTACAACTTAATTTATTATTAATTTAAGTTGTCATATAGTTAGTGTTACTTTGGAGAAAAGTTTAGAAAATAAAATAAAATTTTCCAAGTCAAATCTGTAAAACATTGTTATATCAATAACTGGGATTCTCTATGGCTAGACTACACCTTTGTACAAAGAGAATTCTGTTAATCTTTCAAGTTAATACTCTTTGTTTGAATGTGTATCTACCAGAGAGTGCAGTAGTATTTGGGTTTAAGAGTATGTTTCTCAGGAAACATTTTTGTGAATGAATGATTCTACTTCTCGTAGTATGTCCTAGTTTCCAAGGACCCTAATTGTGTTGTATTGGTACTGAAATAGTTCAAGTTAATGGTTCATTTTGACCAAAGATGATTAGACAAATAATTAATATTTTCAATAATTATCTATGAAAACATGCAGAAAACTGAAGCTGTTGGTTCAACTGTCTATTAAACTGTTTTTAGAACCAGCAGTAAATTTCATATTAAATTGTTCAGCATTAAGTAAAAAAATTATAGGTAATACACAGCATAGATTAACCATAAGACCACAATATTCAATTAGAAGCTACAATCCAAGGAAACTGAAGTATTTCCCTGTTCGTTAAACATCTTAATGTATTTTTTAAAGGATGAATTTTGGAGCTGGAGAGATGGCTTGATGGTTGGGAGCACTGGGTGTTCTTCTAGAGAACCCGCGTTCAATTCCCAGTACCCACATGGGAGCTCACAACTGTCTGTAACTCCCATTCTAGGGGACCTGAAACCCTCACACGAGACACACATGCAGGCAAAACACCAGTGCACATAAAATACCAAATAAATAAATTATAAGAAAGATTATTTTTCCTGGCCTGTGTGGAATGTAATTATAAAGTAGTTCTGATAAATCAAAGTAGACTATAAAAAATAGAGATGAGAAAATACCTGAATTAATTAATATTTATTTATTTTAATATATTTTCAAAGATCTTGCCTTTTCCCCCACTTTGTATATTGTGTTTTTTATATGAAATATGAACTTTGCACTTAGAGTGTTTAATATATAAAATTACACCATTTTAATAGTCTAAAAATGTGTTTTCAATTTCATTGACTTATTAAACACATTTTGAAAGTTAGTATACATTTTTGCAAACTATATGATCTTTTTATCTTCCAGGTATGGCTTTTCAAATATGCGCTATATCTCTTCATTGATTAGTGGTGTTGGTATTTTCATGATGGGCGCAGGACTCTCTTGGTACCATGGAGTCATGGGATTGCTTCATCCTCAACCAATGGAATCCCTTCTATGGGTGATCCTCTTTTTTCCCCCACTTTCATATATGGAATGCTATGACTTTGTCGTATTGTACTGGCAAATAGGAAGAGCATGCCTCTTGATTGTCACACATATTATTTATTTATGGTTTTGTTTTTTTATGCATGAGTATTTATGACGTATGAATCCATAGATGGGGTGATTTTAAACAATTTTTACTTATTTTATGTGTATGAGTGTTTTGCCTTCATGCATGTCTGTGCAGCACATGTATGTCTGATGCAGGCAAAGGCCAAAAGAGGATGCTGGTTCCCCTGGGACCAACACAAGGCTGTGAGCTGCCCTGGAGTGCTGGGAGTCCAACCCAGGTCCTCTGATAGAGCAGCCAGTGCTCTTAACTGCTGAGCCATTTCTCTAGCCCCTAATTTGGTGATGTTAAACTAGAGGCTCTCATAGGTATAATTAGTAAGCACATCCTCTAAATTTTGAGCAGTTCTACAAATTTCCTAGAGATGCTATTGAACAAAAAGAATTCTGTTCACCGTTAGCACCAGGAATGGTTTTATATCAGTAACTACAATTTCCAGTCACTTGTCATAAACTGGAACTGCATTTAATATTAAAGCAAAATGAAAAGGAAGTTGATTGGTTTGTTTGTTTTGTGTTTTCTCTGAGGCCTCCATCAGGTAGGGGGCTTGCCTTGGAGAACAGGAAAAGGGGGATGGTCACTTTCAGCCTTATTACACCAGGTTCTTCTGCTCAATAGGCCATGCCCAACACTGGGTAGGGAACAGTACGTACTAACCTGGTCTGTTCTAGCCTTCATAGTCATTAAACTACCTTGCCTTTCACAGTCAGGCCTTAGAGTGTACGATGCTTTGCTGCTCTTGCTCCTTGGATAGACAGACTGGCCATCTCCCGCCCCTCTCGGCTCTGATAGACACAGAGTGGTTGTCTACTGTCTCAGCTTCCACGCATTTGGCAAAAATGCTTTTTAGATATTTCAGAAGACTCTACCTCAGGACCCCATGGCTAAAACCTATATTATGAGACATTTTACTTTCTGTGGGGCTCTGTGGTCTCTCTCCTGACAGCCCCTGTCAGATTATTGCTCGTGGGTGCATCAGACACAGTTGGCTTTGATCTCCGATCTCCTCGGGGCACCTTTTAAGTCTACTGAGCAATCTCAGCAACTCAGCACATTCATCATAGAAATGTCCTCCTTTGGCCTCCTTACTCTCCGGCTTGTCTTCAGTAGTGCTAGGTGTAACACCAAGGTCTGGTCTGGTGGGTAGAAAGAGGCCTCGAGCTCCTGAAAGCCTCTGCAGATTGTATATCCATCCTGGTGTTGGGACATGCTGGAATGAGCGTGAACATGGAACTCCTTTTCCTGTTGTGGTCATAGGATAGTATATGACTAGTCTAATTCCAGTATTCTATTATCCCATACATATCTCTGCAATAACAAGCCAGTTAAACTAGGCTTATTTGTATTTTTATTTTTTGTCGTTTAGTTATTAAAACAAAGTGTTTTGCTGTGATACCCAGACTGACCTTGAACTTTTGAACTCCTGCCTCATTCTTTTCCTCTACTCCCTGTGCTGCAATTATAGGCAAATGCCACCATGTCTAGCCCTCTATTTACATTTTTGAGGCGAGTTTCTTACTTTGTTTTTTAACCATAGTACATTTTGTGTAGTTAAATGGACAAACTCGCCTCCCCCATCCTGCACATGTTTAGCTGTCCCTCATTGTCCTAGGGTCATCTCATTTGAATAGCATCACTAGACAGGGGTGAAGCAGTCTCTGGAGTTAGAAAGTGATGAGGTTTATTTTTAATTGTGTTTAAATTTTAAACTTTCTAACATATCTTGTCTTTGAGTAACTGAGTAGGATTCCATTGAAATAAGGCACTTTATAAATAATGGATTCCGTAGACTAAACTTGCTTAATAGGCATTACTTCAGAATCTTGACTTAGGGTATTTTATCCTTTTTTTCCCCAATGAAATTTTTTTATGTCTTTTAAAACTTATTTTTTTAGTTAAAAAAATTTTTTTAAAAGATTTTTATTTATTATGTATAATGTTCTGTCTGCATATATGCCAGAAGAGGGCACCAGATCTCATTACAGATGGTTGTGAGCCACGATGTGGTTGCTGGGAATTGAACTCAGGACCTCAGGAAGAACAGTCAGTGTGCTTAACCTCTGAGCCATCTCTCCAGCTCCTAGTTAAAAAATTTTTTTTCGGGATGGTGGGCATTGAGACAGGGTTCCTCTGCAGATCCCTGACTGTCCTAGAACTCACTCTGTAGACAAGGCTGGCCTTGAATTTAGAGATCTGCCTGCCTTTTGCATCCCTAGTGCTGGGATTACAACCGTACATGACTATACCTGGCTTCTGTCTATAATTTATTCTCTTCCTCTGAGTTGTTTACTAACAAGATCCTTAATATCTAGCTTGAATTAGCACTTATATTTCAATTTTATTGGATATTGCGAATTTTACATATGAGTAAGCTGTAATTCTTCAATGAAATACTTGCTTCATTGTTTGTCTTCTTATTTTCCAGGCGTATTGTATTTTAGCAGGATCTTTGGTATCTGAAGGAGGTATGTACTGTCAAAATGATTTATTTTCAGTTTACTATATTTGAAAGCCCATTCATTACAGGTTGTCAAGTTGTAATAGTACTATGGAGGTAGGAACCTAAGTCTTGTCTGCTTCTCAAGGTAGAAAGTCTCTGTAGTGTTCTGTGGTTGTTGCTGTATGGGTGAGGGCAAGGGGAATGGGCTGTGTTCATGAATAGCCTATATTGCTCAAACCATTGGAAATAAAAACATAATGATACTAACTTTTTAAATTGGTTTTTAGCAGTGTTAATCAGAAAAAAAGCTGTGTCTTTACAATAAGAGTAATAATTTCTGAAATATATTACTTCAAAAATATTATAAAATTCTTCCTTCCTTCCTTCCTTCCTTCCTTCCTTCCTTCCTTCCTTCCTTCCTTCCTTCCTTCCTTCCTTCCTTCCTTCCATTTTCCTTCAAGTCAAAGTCTGTGTTGCTTTGGAGCCTGTCCTGGAACTGGCTTTGTAGTCTAGGCTGGCTTCAAACATAGAGATCCTCCTGCCTCTGCCTCCCAAGTGCTGGGATTAAAGGCAGGGCCACCACCACCCAGCTTGTAACATAGTTTCTAATATCAACATAAAATACCTAATTCAGTGCTCTTTATCTCTGAAAGATTATTACTTTCTGTATTTGGTATTCCCTTCACTCATATTTTTAAAAGATTCATTTGTTTATTATTAATTTTGTGTAGGTGTCTGTGTAAGTCTGAGTGTATGTGCATGTGTATGTGTGGGTACCCACGTCTGTGGCATGCAAAGGCCAGAAGAGAGCACCAGATCCCTCTTCTTGGAGCTGGAATTACAGGTGTTTGTCAGATGCCTGGTTGTTCTATGAGGGCTGAGATCTGAACTCTAGTCTTCTTACCCCTAAACCATCTCCTTAGTTCCTCATCTATTTTTAAAATTCATTTGATATGTGGTTGGTAGGTTATAATTGTACATTTATGGGGTTTTTCTTAATGGATAGACCTCCAAAGATTGGAGGATCAGAAGTGATGATTCTTAGTGAGTGCCACCCAGTCGTGGCTGCTCGATTGGCAAAGGCTGTTGCTGTAGTAATTATGTTTAGCGATTATGGTTTGAAATAGGAGATTCATTTTGTTATAATGGCTAATTACAGTCTTTTTTTTTTTTTGGTTTTTCGAGACAGGGTTTCTCTGTGGCTTTGGAGCCTGTCCTGGAACTAGCTCTTGTAGACCAGGCTGGTCTCGAACTCACNTCTTTTTTTTTTTTTGGTTTTTCGAGACAGGGTTTCTCTGTGGCTTTGGAGCCTGTCCTGGAACTAGCTCTTGTAGACCAGGCTGGTCTCGAACTCACAGAGATCCGCCTGCCTCTGCCTCCCAAGTGCTGGGATTAAAGGCGTGCGCCACCACCGCCCGGCGCTAATTACAGTCTTGATGGTGACTGTTAACATAGAGTCTCATTGCCCACTCTGGTGTTCTATTTGTATTTGGAGGGCTCTCTTTAAAGTTGGAGACATGAAGTTTCTTCCTTGCTAATAGGGTGTTTCTCTTTCAGCAACACTTCTTGTTGCCATAAACGAACTTCGCAGGAGTGCTCAGGCCAAAGGAAAATCATTTTATAAGTATGGTATGTGGTTTAGAACCAGGTATTTATTTTTTTCTTTTGTCTTGCTGAAAGTATTTAGTGCTATTGCTTTGTTGCTAAGAAATGATATAAAACATGTCTCACTGTCTTCTGTATGTGGCTCTCAGAAAACAAATTATCTCTGTTAAAAAGAATTTTTGAGCATAGGGATGGCACATTTGAGCATAGGGATGTTTTCTGAGCATAGCAATTTGACTTAGATGAGCCGTTATATTTCTGCATATACCTGTATAATTCGGAAAGATAATTTTATTATCTAAGTTATTGTTATTAACATTTGAGATAATAAATAGGGTTTTAAAAACTATAATCTGTAATATATCCTTGTGTTAATAGATTAATTTTCAATGGGTAGTTATTGAAATGGCTTCTGGTAGTGTCAAATTAAGATTTCAAAGTTCTCTGTTCTTGTCTCTTGCCACAATGATTAAGTCATGGAAAGTCGTGATCCCAGTACAAATGTTATACTATTGGAGGACACTGCAGCTGTCTTAGGAGTGATAATAGCGGCCACCTGCATGGGCCTCACTTCTGTAACAGGTAAGTATTTCTTAAACTTACCTGTGATTTTCTTCTACTACTTAATTCTCTAATATATGGGGACTTGGTGTGCAGATTTCTCTGAGTTAGATTTATTATCTTGAGATGAGAAGTAAAGGAATTAGTAGATTATTGTAACCTAAGTAGCAGTGAGTCAAAGTTGGGGTCTCTCTGAACTCTGACCCCCTTCCCTATGACAGTACTGTTGGGATTTACTAATGGCATGGGCCATTAAGGTAATGCAGAGACTTAAGCACATATGCACTGGAGCTCTTGTTCACGTGTCTTCTTGCTCCTGGTATCAGGAATGACCCCTGCTGCCTTCATAGGCCTAATTTTCGTCAGGCTCTGCCACTCATTTTGGTAGCTGGCTAAGGTGTTTGAGTGCTAAAAGGCAGATTGGAACAGAAAGCTCATTTTGTTTTCTAAAACAAGAACCATTTGAGTGTTCAGCTTGTGAGGTCAGGTTCTCTTGGGATTAACCCCGTCCATGTGTTCTCATTTATGTAAAATCACGTCAGATGATGAGCTGCCGCTGCATTCTTCAGTGGAACTAGGATGCTCTGAGTGACCTTTACCCTGCTTTTGGTCATATATTATTGATAAGCACCCCCACCTCACCCCAGAGGGTTGCACTGTATGACCTAGTTGCCTAGCCACATTAGCCTGGCCTTGAACTCAGAAGAGGTCTGTCTGCCTCTGCCTTCCAAGTGCTGAAATCAAAGGGTATGCTAATGACTAAAGACCATTTCTTTTAACTTTTTATTTCAAAAGAGCACTATTTAATTTTGGATTCCATAATTGGAACTCTTATAATGGATTGTGCTTTATAAGTAGATCAATTAGGAGAGATAAATTTGTTTTTTGTTTCATATACTTCGACTACATGTTAATCAAACTAGTACACAGTTGATATTTTTAGTAAAATAAAAGTTTTATATTAAGAATTTTAAAAGTTAAATAAGGGCATTGAGATAGCTCAGCAGATAGAGGCACTCAGGGCCTGAGTTTATTCCCTGGGACCTATGTAGTGGAAGAAAAGAAACAAGCCCCCCAATAGTCTCCTGACCTCCGTGCACATGCCACACCGACACTAAAATGATTTGGTTTTTGGTTTTGTTTTTTGTTTTGTGTGTGTGTGTGTGTGTGTGTGGTTTTTTTTTTTTTTTTTGAGACAGAGTCTCTCTATATAGCCCTTGCTGGCCTAGAACACCCTATATCAGCAGTTCTCACCTGTGGGTCAGTGACCCCCTTGGATCACATATCAGATATCCTGCATACCAGATGTTTACATTATGATTCATAATAGTAACTAACAAAATTACAGTTAGGAAGTAGCAATGAAACAATTTTATGATTGGGGTTACTACAACATGAGGAACTGTATTAAAGAGTCCCAGCTTTAGGAAGGTTGAGAACCACCGCCCTATATAGACCCAGCTGGCCTCAAAGTCATTCTCGAAAATGCTGAGGTTAAAGGCATACACCTGCCCCTGCTAGTAGTAAGACTGTTAGAAGCTGTTAAAAGAGGCAACTAAAGGAGCCAGTAGTGAAAGTCAGAAATCTTGGTTGTTTGCTCTCTAAAGCTCACTGGAATAATAGAAATGTTTTGGTTTCTTCTTTCAGGCAATCCACTGTATGACAGCCTAGGTTCCTTGGGTGTGGGCACCTTACTAGGTGTGGTCTCATTATTCCTGATCTACACTAACACAGAAGCACTCCTAGGAAGATCTATACAACCAGAGCAAGTGCAGCGACTTACTGAACTCCTGGAGAACGACCCCTCAGTAAGGTCAGCCTTGTCTAATGATGCTCTCTGGTGTCTCACACAAACAGTGAACTGTTCCTCAAGGGAAGAAAGTATATGTAGGAAACCCCTGCTAAGTTTCCTTTATTCAAACTTAAAATAGGAAAGTATTTATTCTGTTCCCTGTTTTGGTTTTAGTCTGTTTCTATTGCTGTAATAGAATACCAGAGAGCAGGTAATTTGTAAACAAAAAAGGCTTATTTAGCGCATGATTCTCACACATTCTAGCAGGAGTCTTAATGCTGCTTGAACTCAAGGTGGAAAGTGAGGGCACATATAGAACAGAGAGAATGGTGGGGGTGAGAGTTGATTTGAGGCAGCTGGCTCCTGGAACTAATGAAATCCTAAGAGCAAGAAATCATCGTCCTCCAGAGGTGGCATTAATCTACTTGTGAAGGCCCCACCCCACACCACATGTAAGCCATGCTGAGGACACAGCATGAATGTGCATACAATGTTATAATTGAAACCCTTGAAATTTAAAAATTGTCTGTGCCTGAGTTAGTAAAACATTAGTGGTTATTGGACTTATATCCTAAAATCTATATATTTAAGTTTGCAAGTAATTAGCTAGATCATAACTTGAAATTGAAGTTGACTATTTCATGTGAAATAACCCATTCATACTTCTCTACAATACTAACATTGTAGAGTGAGTTGGGAAGTCTCCTGCTGGGTGCAGCATGTATGAAGAATTGACACTTGTTGTATGTTTTTTATTTTTATGTGTGGGGGACATGGTATTTTGTCCACATGTATGTCTGCATACTACATGAGTGGCTTCTGTTTGTGGAGATGAGCAGAAGTCATCCTCTGGCACTGAGTAAGCCTGTGGTGCTGGTGCTGGGACTTGAACCCGGGTCCTGTGGAAGAACATCCAGCGTTCTAAACCTTTGAGCCATCTCTCCAGCCCCTGTCAGTAACTTCTTTTTCAGTAAAGCCATCTGGACATGAGCTTTTCTATATGAATCAGGTTTTGTTTTTTGTTGTAGTTGCTATTATTTTGGGTTTTTTTTATGTAATTCCCTTACTTATTATAGACAGTTACACATATTTTTTTCCTGTATTACAAACCTTGGGCTTTGAATCTCCAGGGCAAGTGACTCAGGTGATGTTTCTTACTGGGCTACTTTAGAAGTTTCTGTTTATTTTAGAAACCTTTCTTTATCATGTATAATATGTGGGGTTTTTACATGATTCCTTTGAAATGTTTTTCCTTAAGGTTCATAATGCCACATCTTTTGTTTCTGATTATATTTGCTTAAGTCTCTACCCCTACCCCCTGCCGCCACTATTTAAAAATAATATTTGTCATTTTGGTTTTATTGGCTTTGTTTGCCCATCCTCCTTTTCATTCATTTCTTTAATCGTTACCCCCTTCCTTCTGGCTGCCTTATGTTTAGTTTGCTCTTCCCCATTGTCTTTAGGTGGTAGGATAAGTTTTCTAACTGACTTGGTACCATTTCAAAGCAGACAGTCACAGACAGAACTTGTCCCCGGCCTCTGCTCTCTCTACACCCAGGATTGTTCTCCTGCAGCGTGTTCTCTCCTCTCAAAGCATCTTCTCATTCTGCTTGTTTAAAATTTCATTTTTATTTTTAATTAACATATAATAATTATATGTATTTATGATATTTCACTACATTTGTGTAGCATCTGATGATTAGTGGATCACATCCGTGGGTATTCTTTGTGCACTTGAAATACTCTGTTAGGCAGGGAGTTTTTCGTCGATGTTAGTAGGGTTAACTGGTTTATTGCCTTCAAAACTCAGTCTTCCTACTGATTTCATGCAACATGAAAATATCTTGCCTTTGTCCATTTTTGTTTGTTTTGGTGCAATTTTGCACTATTCTAATTAAAAGCTAGTAAAAGAACTCAAGCAAACATGAGTTGTGTCCAGGAATGAAGATACATGGATGATATCTTTGGAAACTAGCAGTGTTGGTAATCAAAATTCATGCAGTTGCTTTTGTTTTCTTTTTCTTTTTCTTTTTTTAACAGTGTATTAGTTACCTCTTGCAGTCTGACATCTAGTCCAAAGCTTAGTGGTTTGGGCACTGTCTATTATCTGATAGTATCTGTAGTCAGAGATTCAGGCTCTGCATGTGTGGCTCCCCTGCTTCAGTCTTTCTCACAGACTGTATGCTACATGATTGACTTGTGTCCTAGGAAAGGAGCTGATTGCAAGCTTTTTCATGTTGGAAAGACTAGATCCTTTGCCACATCATGGCAGTGTGCTTAGTCAAAATGTGTAAGCTGATGGGCACTCATTGAATGTGAACAAGAAAACAGTGACAGACACCTGCCTGATAAGGGAGATGACATTCCATCACTTTGCTAGATTCTCTTGCTGGGTTGCATCTGAGGAGAGGGGATCACACAGGATAGAGGAGGCACTGATCAGCAGGAAGATCTTAGAGGCTACTTGACACAGAGCTTTCTCTCTGCAGTTAGCTCCAAGGACATAAGGAACAACCACATCAGAATAGCATCAGCCATTCTTTAAGTATTAAACAAAGAAAGACACATCACAGTGTTTTGTGAGGGCAGAATGCAAACAAATGGAAAAATAAGATAACATCTTGCCAATCTGATCAGATTTTATTTTTAACTTGAGTATCTGTAGCTTTGGAGCCATTGGGTCATTGTTCTCATGTCATCCCAGGAAGTTAATAAAGCTTCTCGTGTGGATTAGGAATCGTGGACTCAGTCAATTTAAGATCACTCAGAAAGTAGAGTCCAGGGTTGTAATAGCATGTAGAGTTTTCAGGATGCAGGCTTTATTTCTTGTGTTTTATGTAAATAATATGTATTTCTTAGATATTATTTCTTATGTAAAGAAAGCAGATTGGACTGATCACAGGTAGAGGCTTCTCAACAGTTCCCTAGGGGAGATTTGCTCCTTGGGGGTTAAGGTTAGAAGGAAGCAAGCAGTTGATGCTTCATCTGCACGCCCTTCCGGAAGGGAGACAGAACTGTGCAGTAGACTCCTGGAGGCGAGGAGCCCTGGTGAGCCAGGGCACTAGCTGGGCGGCCTGAGAAAATCACCTTCTGTAGATATAGATGCCGCCTTATGATTGGTCTTAGTTGGAGCCATTCATTCCATGACTGCCTTCCTGTCTGTGCCGCATTGAGCTTGAGCATGTGTTCATCATTGCCCTCATCGGTCCTGCGCATTAGTTTTAGTCAGCCCGTTCTAACAGTAACGGCAGGACTGAGAGATGCTGCATGCCAGCCAGCACACGAGCCATGTACACCTGTGGCGGAGCTCACTTGCTCTGCTGTGCACTGGCGCTGGTTTGAACCTCATGACCACAGAGAAGGAATGGAGGGAGGGAGGGAGAGAAGGAAGGAGGGATAAGGGAGGTTTGCATACTTAAAGATACTGTTATCAACAAAAATTTTATTTTTATAAATGTTGAGAAATTATTAAGTAGATAGACTATGGGACGGTTTATAAGATTAATTTGATACTGATTAACTTGATACTATTTTGGAAAAACTTTAGAATTAGTAATTTTTTAATATACAAACTTTATAACTCATGTATGTAAATTATTATAAAACAGTATTTATTATGCTAATTCTTTTGTATGGCATTATGCACAGAAACCAAACTAGATGTCAGTCTTAGAAAGTGATGAGGCTTGGTGGTAAGTGGTCTGCAGTGTTGCTGGGGAAGCCGAATTCTCTGTCGTGAGAGTATAGATGTTACACTCAGCCTTACCCGTATTGTTATTAATCACAGGGCAATCCATGATGTTAAAGCCACGGATCTGGGCTTAGGAAAAGTCAGATTTAAGGCAGAAGTCGATTTTGATGGACGAGTTGTTACACGATCATACTTGGAAAAGCAGGATTTTGACCGCATGATGCAAGTAAGTTTCTGTAGTCATCGTCTTCTTCTGTAGCCCACCATTTTAAAGTCACCTTTTGTCTTATTGTCTTAGAGTCACTTCAGCTGTGAACTTCTTAGTTCCCAAGTCTGTTAGAGAAGTCAGAGGAGACAGCCAAATGAACAAATGTAATCATTAAGTTGTTAATACTTGTTACATGTTTTATGTAATCTACTCTCAATAACCCTGTATGGCGATGAAATAACAGGTTCTAACAGACAGACAGACTTAGCAGACGAATTAGCTTGTCTAAGGTTTCAGAACCAGGAAGTCACATGAATCTGATCTTTGACTCCAGATCTATACTTTTTATTAAGAATACAATAGCACACCTGCCCACTTTGCTGTTTTATTTTCTGTGAATTAAGTTACCAGATTCCAAAACTGGTGAGTAGAAAAATAAGTGTAAACTTTAAATTGCGTTTCTGAGTAGTTTGTTGGTTCCCAAGACATGAATGTTCCTTCCCTTAGCCTAGCCAATCTGTGTGTGCCACTCAAGCTGAGCTGGTGCAGGAGAGGAGAGGTATGTTCATTTAACTTGTATATTGTTACAGTTGTATTTTATTATTATTGTTAATCTACTGTGCCCAATTAATTGGTTCAACTTTATCATTGGTATGGATTTTGTTTATGGAAAAAAAAATGTTTAAGATCTCTGTGCTGTTGGGATAAAACCTCAAAGATAAAGGGTAATGCTGTAATTTAGGAGACAATTTGTAGAAGCCAGCAGTGATCAGAACAAGTATTACTTCTTGGTTTGTCAGATCTTAACACCTGCTATGTAGGTTGAGTATCCTAGATAAAAAATACTAGGGAACTGCAATGTCCACCATTTAATCTTTTTTTAATAGTTGTACACATTGAGTTCTTAATCCAAATGTCAAAAGGCCTGGTGTTTGACTTTGTTGTCATTTTGTTTGTTTGAACCATGGTCTGGTGTAGCCTAGGCTGGCCTCGAACTCCCTGTGTACCTCTGAATAACTGAACTTCTGCAGCTCTTGCTCCTCCTTCCTAGTGCTAGGATTTTAGACACCAAGCCTAGTTTATGTACGCTGGGGACTGAGCCCAGGGCTTCATGCGGACACCCACCAACAGAGCTACATCTTGCCCTAGTGGTTTTGAGAGTCATGTCAGTGCTTACAGAGCAGTAGACTTCAGAAGAGCTTGGATTTTCAGATTTGGCGTACTAGTTAACTCTGGGGATGAGAATGAGAGTTAGCAAAAAAAAAAAAAAAAAATGGGCTTATTAAACTGTTTTTTTAATGATTTCTTTCAAGACCTTAGACAAACACAGTATATGTTTTTCTAAAATATGAATCTGAAAAATACTGTTTTCCATGTTAAACAGAAACAATGCTACAAACTAGGTATGGTAACACAAAACTATAATCCCAGTGCTGAGAAAGCTGAGACAGGAGGATCATGATTTTGAGGCATCCTGAGCTTTATAGATTCTATCTCAGAAAGAAAGGAAAAGAGGTGATGCCTGGTGGCATTTCATACGTGTGCCCTAGGTCATGTGTGTAAGTGCCCTGGGCAGGTGTGGACAGCTAAATTTAAGGTAGATGAAGACTACCAAGCACCTGCTTTAGCTTCCGTAGATAGCTCCGGGTTATCCTCCAGAGTGTGTTCATTCTCTCCCACTCAGGATGGCAAAGGTTCTAGTGCATGGGTTTTTTAAAGGACAGAGTCTCACCACTCAGGGCTGGGGTTGACCTAGAACTAATTATTAGGCCAGATAGATAGCCTGCAACTCAGAGAGATCATGTGACCCTACCATACCCAGAGACCTTGAGTTCTCTATCCCCCATTTTTACCTCTAGAGCTGGGCTTCCCGAGGACTTCTGTGCTATTATTTATCATGTGTTAAAAAGTCTTTCTTTTATCACTTTATCATAAGAACATTCTGAAGATTTTGTGACTTAATCCACTTTGAATTGTTTACTTGCCACACTGAAGGAAAGGTTAGCTACTTTATTATTCTGGAAGGCCGTTGTCCTGGTCATACTTAGGGAACAGTCTTTGCCTGCAGTTGTAGCGGTCTCCCTGCAGAGCGTTCTTTCTGAGCTGTTTAGAAACAAGGGATTCATTGCCTTGGCCTAAAGGTTTTATTTTTCATTAAACTTCCTGGTGCTACAAATTATATATATATATATATATACATATATAACTGTCATTTTAAAATTCTGTTTTTCTGCTTTCATTTTCTTTATAGGAAATTCAAGAAGTAAAAACTCCTGAACAATTAGAGGCCTTTATGCTTAAACACGGAGAAAACATTATTGACACTCTAGGAGCTGAAGTGGACAGGCTCGAGAAGGAGCTGAAAGTAAGATAGAGTTGTCAATAATTGCCTTCTGATAACAACAGCTGCTTTGGGAGTCCTTATTCTGTGTAGATACCATGCAAAGTGTGTCACGTGTGTATGTGTGTACTCTGTTTTATCCCATAAAGTAATTTGCAGGCAGGATTTGATAGGTTAATGACACTGAACCAGTAAAGTAGGGAATAATGGTTTGAACCTCTTGTTCAACTCCAAATTCAGCATTTTTATCACTGTTCTTCCTAGCTTGTATTTAAAGTAGTAAAAGGTATTTTGTCTTTAAATAGAAAACAGTTCAAAAAAATTCTAGAGAAAAATAAAAGGAAAACTTGACGGTAGTCTGAAGCAGAAAGACTGGGATATAGACTGATCATGCCCTTACACTAGCCTGTGCTTGCTTCTGTCTGATTGGAGGCGGTTACTTTGTTAGTAATTTGTTAGTAACAAATTACTGCTAGTACTGCTTCAGATGGTTTTTGAAAGGGCTTACTTATTTTTACTTTATATGTATGCATGTTTTGCCTACATGTGTGTCTGTCTGTGTACCATATGTGTAAAGTGTCTGCAGAGGCCAGAAGAGGGCATCAGATCCTCTGGAACTTGAGTTACAGACAGTTGTGAGCTACTTGAGGCTTCTTGGGACTGAACCTGGGTCCTCTGTAAGAGCAGTAAGTGCTCTTATTTACGAGCCGTCTCTCCAGTTATTTCACCTTTTTGCAAAAATGCTTGAGTAGAAAGGATTAGAAGCCAGTAGCTGTCTTAATAGAAAACAGTTAGATTTCCTTATCTGTCTCTGCATTCAGTCTGTGATGCATTTTCATAGTTTTGATTAAAGAACATGAAGTATTACTTGTTTGCTGGCTAATCTGCGTCTAGCCTTAGGGTCAGAGAAAGCCGTGTGTGTGTGTGTGTGTGTGTGTGTGTGTGTGTGTGTGTGTGTTTAATCACTTCATTGTAAAGAACTTTCAAATAATTGGTCATTGTGGCATATGCTTTTATTCCCAGCAGAGGAAGACAGATCTCTATAAGTTTAAGGCCAGCTTCTTCTACATCTTAAGTTGCAGGAGAGCCAGAACTATGTAGAGAGACCCTGTCTCAAACAAACAAAATCCCAACAACAACAATCAAAAAAAAAATAAAAATAAAAAGAAAGAAATCACATAGTTAAATTAATGTAAGCCACTCAAGCAAGCACTTGTGCCGACCCAGAGCCTATACATCCCAATGAATGTTTGTGTAATTACAGTCACCATTGCGAAGTTGGGGGTGCTTCCCTGGCAATTACATTTTAATTGTGTGTGTGTGTGTGTGTGTGTGTGTGTGTGTGTGTGTGTGTGTGTGTGTGTTGGGTAAGGACAGGCTTAGTTAAAAAACTTATCTCCACTTCTTTTAGCACACTGCTTGCCCTCGACTATATGGACAACTAAACTATATCAAGCAGTGTTTTAAATGTTTTAGTTCTAATTGGTATTGTTTTGCAGTGATTTTCTTTTCACTGTGCAAAGGGGCATTAGGGTTTTTGGTGCTTCCATGATTGACATATACGAGATCTGTCTTTGTATTAGCACATGAACAGACTCAGCGAGGCGGGGTTATTTCCTATATGGTTCATAGTATATTCACCTTGATGGTTTCTTATGCATAGACTCCACTTGATAGGATAGTAAATGCTTTTAGTTGCTCTAGCCACCAGAAAGAATTTTAAAAAATGGGGTGGAGGGTGTTGCTGTGAATAATGTGGAGTTTTTTTTTCTTTGCAGAAACGAAATCCTGAAGTTCGGCATGTAGATCTAGAGATCCTATAGGTCCGATGAATGAGTCACTTGGGACATAGCGACATCTTCCTCCCACTGAAGGGGAATCGGTGCCGTCCAGAAGCTGTGCTTCTTAAGATGGATGGGATATTTCATGTGCTGATCAATCGAAGAGGCCGCAGAACTAAAACTCCTTTCTTCTAATCATGTCTTCATGCTTCTGTAGGGACCTTGGCTGCTTAGATCACCCACAGTTCTCATTTTAGCCAGTCTGTATCGACCGTGAATCATGTTTCCTTTCTTAACATGGTAAAGTAAGTGTTCCCCATGGACTTGTAACTTCGGGTACCTCTGAAGATTTTAGTCCATCGAAGTCTTCTAATCTTGAATACTCTGGCTAAACCGTGTTGTGTGGTTTTCAAACAGTCACCGTGTTTTGAGGTCTGTCTTTCCTGCCCAGTTGGGAAAGTATTTCTGTATACTTTGTGGTTTCAACCTGAACACTGAGAGGCGCACCCTCCTAACTTCGTTATCCACAGATGTTCATTCCAGAAATGGCGCAGTCCTGAATGGAGGGAGACGTTTCAGCATCTTCTGGATCATAGTAGTTGCCACTTTGTAAACTTTCTTCTTTCTCCTTTATTTTTTTCCTTATTTGGCTTAATTTTTGTAATGTTAAAGACACAATCCTAGACGTATGACTCCTTTTTTAACTGGCTTCAGTGCCAGAGTGTTTATTTACTGGGAATGATGCATTTGTAAATGTCCTAACTTTCTGTAAAGTAAACTAGAAGTATTTATAATTTTACAGACAGGATAGCATTTTGTTTTTAATTTATTTAAAAGAAGGCACTACTTATGTAAATCTGAACTGTGGGATACTTTTTGCTTTGAGGGAGAAGTAAATCTCTTACACTGAAACTCGTGTGGCGGTTTTTGTGCTGTCGGGGCCAGCTGTGTGTCCTGAGCATTAAGTCGGGCATTGAGCAAATTCATTGCTGTAACACATTCTGTAAGCAGATAGCTCGCTGATGACTGTAAGGTAGCAGGGGAAGAGATGTTCAGTTTAGTAACTGAAGACTCAGTGAGAAGCTGCAGCTGTCACCGCCCAGACAGCTCAGAGATGTGCGAGCAGCGAGTGTCGTTCATACGAGCAGTAGCTGCTCTCTGGGCGAGAGCGCTGGGGGCACAGCCCTGACAGCTCTGTGAGTTCAGTGTCTCCAGACTGTCTGAGATGGAGGTTTGTGAATTACAGCAAACTGTAATGTGGAAACAAAAAATAAACCTCTGCTTATAGGATATGTTAGAGTAGTTTTGATCCAGAAGTGACAGTTGGTAGGAAATTGTGAGGATTTATGCAGTGCTTTGTGTAACTGTAGGGAGCATGCTTATTACCCTTCGGGTTTTGTTGCTGAGTTCTTTCTGTGGAGGTCAGGCCAGCCTGGAACTCGCTGCATATAGCCTAGTCTCTCTGAAGATATCAAATTGGGGCCAGCAGTGAGATAGCTCATTGGGTAAGAGTACTTGCCACCAAACCTGCCAACCCGGGTTTGATCTCCAGGACCCACTTATGGATGGCGAGAACTGAGCGCTCTGTGTGCCATGGTGTGCCCCTCCCCACATTTATGGCATTACTTTTTTAAAGAAATAAAATGATTGTGCTGGGGTGGAGCTCACTAGTAGAGTATTTGCCCGGTATGTACAAAGCCTGCGCTTGACCCACGCCCTGTAACAGTCCGACAGTGTAAGTAACACATAGGGCTTGCTTCTCTGCTCTACAGTTCCGGAGCCTTCTTTCTTAACCGTCCTCACCTGTCACGACTCCCCTGTGGTTTCAGTTTCTTCCCCCCATTGCACACTCGCCACTGGTCTTTCCATGCCCCTGCCACAGGGAAAGTGCTGAGCTGTATCCTGCTTCCTCTTAGGAAAATTCACATAACTGGGCAGCAATAATTAATCCCCTTTTAAGCCCCCTCAAAACAGACATCTAGAAGTTATTCCAAGTCGCGTAGTTTTCGAGCCTGAAGCAGTGCCTGCTGTGGCACACACAGGCTTGTACTGAGTTCTCCAGAACCTGGAAGGCTGGCTGTGGCGTCCCAGCTCTGCCATCCCATGCTCCTGCGGGGAGGAGGCAGGCACAGGAGAGTGGAGGGCAGGCTAAGGGGAGCAGCATAGAGACCTTCTCAAACACGGCGGACCGCAAGGAGCAAGACTGTCGTTTGGTCCCTCCCCATACATGTACATACATTGTCCTCATGAATAAGCACGCATGTACATGTTTATACAGAAAGACGAGTTCTCATCATATTCCTTTGAATTTTTAAATCTGATTCAGGTTAAGGGTCTAACCCTAAATGATAATTTGCACATATGTCTTTCTAGTTCTGGTATTTTAAAGTTTGTTTGTATAAATCTGACATATCTGTAAGTGTATGTGAAGCCAGAAAATGTATGATCTCTATTTACTTTAAAACCAGGGCCAGTGAGATGGCATAGGTAAAAACACTTGCTGCTAAGCCAGAACCCCTGGAACACACATCTGTTAAATGCTATGCGCCAAAGCAAGGCTTAGAGAAATATTTAATTAGAGGAAAACATGGGAATTTGGAGAAACTAGATCTTAGTTTTAAAGAAAGAAGCACAAACTTCCTGGCTTTAATCACAGCCTATAGCGTGCATACGGGCGGCGCATGTACATCACAGCACGTGTGTGGAGGTCAGAAGGCGACTTGCAGCACGTGGTCCTCTGCTTCCACCTGTGCCTGCAGCAGAGCTTCTCTCGTTTCTGCCCCTGTGCCCCATGCGCCTCCCGTAGCTCAGTATAGGTTGGGATTGCAGACTTGAGCCACGACACCAAGTATTTTTACATGGCTTCCAGGGGTGCTTTGTGGGGCAAGCACTCCTAACCCTGTGGGCCATCTTGGCAGTCCAGGAAACATTGTTTTAAGTGGAGCATCTTGGTGGCCAGTAGTATCCGTTGTCGAAGAGGTAGGTTCCTGAATGCATGCCAAGGAGCGTCTGCATTAGAGTCACATTGGAAAATTTCATAAGAAAGTTAATCCTGATCGCCTAGTGCCCAAAGGGAACCATCCCCTGAGTCATCAGAGAACAGAAGGGAAGGGATGAGTTTGGGTGCACAGCTTGTCGGTGCCATTTTAGTTAGCTCGTAGCTGGAGTATACTTCTGCTCAAATTATGCCATCTACAGAAAGACTGACAGAAAAGCCACAGAGAGTTTCTATCATCCCAGATCACATCTGTAAAGTCTTGGTGACATGTCTCTAAAATGTGATGAGCCCCAGTTTGCCAAACTGTCAGAAATCAGTGAGGGGAAGAATTGAAGGTAGAGTGTCCGTTCAGCTGGCTGCCCCCGAGTCCCTCATCCTGCCTGACGCGGAACTTTATTATATATTGAAGATTGGTCGGCTCCTTTGTATCTGTAGTTTCTAGCTTGCCTCCCTAGACTTGGTTTTATGGAGAAAGGCAATTTTCATTGCGATTACATAGTGTGTCTTCTCTCTGACTTGACCGAGATAAGATGGTCCTGGCCCCTCAGGATATCTTTTTCCTTAGTTGATACGGAAGTAATCCCTCTTACTTTGGAATTTTTTTCCCCTAGTGAATTAATGTTTTTTGAATATGTATGCTCTTCATCTTATATGCTAAAGAGCTAAACTCTAGAATGTCACATTTCACTCTGCAAGCCATGGTCACACCTTCTGACAGAATTTGTCATTCATGGTCCTTGTTACCTAATAAATGTTTTCTTGGTTTTACAGAATTCAACAGTAATTATTAGCATATGGTGAGGATACCTTGTGTTTGCTAGAGAACCCAGAAGGTTCTGTCTCTTAGTTATGTGCTGTTGTACTTTTGTTAAAGCTGGGTCATCCACCCATTTAGCTGGACCGCTGTAGGGTGTGGTGATGGGGACTGAACCCAGAGCTCATGCTTGCTAGCCCGTGCTTGACCAGAGCTGAACCTGCAGCGCTGAGGACTACGATCTAGAGCCAGCCTCGGCTACGCTTCAGGGTGGACCTCAGACCATCCCGAAGGATGCTAGCTGTATATTCTTTCTCATGAACAACTAAGTAAATTACTCGGTGTCATCGATATTTTGAGAGGGTGTAGTTATCTCTCCAAATTAAAAACTTATTGAAAATAGAAGCGTTATAGTTTAGAATTTTGGGGAAAAATATAGAATATGTGCCTGGAAGGGTTTACGTAGGGTTCTCGAAACATCTGTGTTGTGGTAGCGATACAGTGCTCTTCACGCCAGCTACGATTTTAGGTGTGTACGTATATTTAGTACTCACAAAGAGCCAGCAAAGTAGACTAATGTTGATGGTTTTGCAGGTGATGAAACAGATACAGTCATAGTTTGTGACCTCTTGGCTGGTAACGCGTAGAATTGGGATGGGAACTCGGACTGTGTGGCTGTCAAGGCATATGAATAAGAATTTAGCTGTTTCTGGGAAGTTTGTGATGGGGGTGGTGAGGTAGGATGGGGCAGGAAAGTGTACACTGTCATTCTGAGATCTTCATTATTATTATTGTTTGTGTGTGGTGTATGTATGTGCCAGGACGTAAGAGGCGACTTTATAGAATCAGTTCTGTATTTCCAACATGGGTTCTAGGGATCAAACTTAGCTCATCAGGCAAACTTGCTGAACCATCCTGCTGACCACTTCCAAGATTTTAAAGAATTATTTAGGGGAACATGTGGCGAGATTTTGTTAGTGCTGTAACAAATAAAGCTTGCCTGAAGATCAGAGTACAGAGCTAGCCACACTAGTCAGCCATAGAGACCAGGCAGTTGATGTGGGAGTGTCATATATCAATCTGTTGATTTCATTGGCTGAGCAATAAAAGAAACTGCTTGGCTGGCCCTGATAGGTTAAAAGATAGATGGGAGGAGGAAACAGAATAGAATTCTGGGCGGAAGAGGAAGTGAGGTCAGACTCTGCTCTGCTCCCAGAGAGACGCCATGCTCAGCTCTCCTGGGTAGACGCAACGATGGATGGAGGCTAGAATCTTCCCGGTAAGCGCACCTTGGGGTGCTTACAAACATCATTAGAAATGGGCTAGTCCAGGTGCGAGAATTAGCCTGTAAGGGTTAGAGTTCATGGGCCAAGCAGTTCTTAAATGAACACAGTTTGTGTGTTGTTATTTCGGGCATGAGCTAGCCAAGCGGCTGGGGTGTTGGGGACGCAGCCCCGCCGCTCATATTTCAACAGGCAGTGGTGGCACACACCTTTAATCCCAGCACTTGAGAGACAGAAGCAGAAGGATCTCTGTGAGTTCAAGGCCAACCTGGGCTACACAGGATTGAATCTGTCTAAAAGAGAAATCCCAGCACTAGGGAAGAGAAGACAGGAGTGATCGGGCTGGGTGGAGAGAGGAATATAAGGGGGAAGAGACAGGAGCTCGGGACAATGGGTCTGAGGATTCGTGGGGATGGGATCTCACCCACTTTGGTTTGAGGATTCGGTAGAGGTAAAAGGTCTCTCTAGTGGCTGGCTCCTTGTCTGGTTTTTCAGCATTTACGTTGACATCTGACTCCAGCTTTTTATTATTAAGACCAATTAGAATTCAAGCTACAGGAACAGAAGATAGTATTTAAAATAATTCTAGTGTCATTGGGCCATAGGGAAAAAAATCCAGAGAAAGCATGGAAGTAACTTAACAATTTAAAAATGTTTCCTTTGGACTGCACTGTATTTATATCCTCCCAATTTTCCAGGTTATTATAAAATTGTATTTTAATAGATAAAATATTCATGATTGAAATTGTTCAGGCATTTATAGGGAATGTCCTCCAAGCCCAAATACTTTCTTCATTCGGGAACAACTTAACGCATTTAATGTGGCCCGTGTATACTCCAAATATGGATTCACTCATGTACTCTGTCTTTCCCTCGG